AACAACATCATCACCTTAGCAGCAGATCTGTAATGATCACATGGATCAACAATTGTCTGCTTGAACAGCTAACTTTTTGAGGAAATTCAGTTAATTGATGCGAAAATTGCAGAAGCGGTAAAGATGCTCACTCGGGTGTTAGTTTTTTCTCAAACTCATACGCTCGTACGCAATGTCCACTCAGCCCGTGCTCTCTCAAATCAGCTCCGATCTCTTCCTCAAGCCTCGTTAGCCGCAAGCCTACTCGGGAGTGTTGCAAACACTGAATTAGAGGGTTATAAAGCAAGAATTCAAGCTTTGAAATAGAAGATTAGCTTGAACTTACGAAAAGGGTAATGAATCCTATTAAAGCGGACCACAATGAGACAACAATTACGCCTAGAAGCTGTTTGCCGATAAGTGTGAAACCACCGCCGAAGAGAAGACCATCTTGTCTGCGTGTCAATTTCCACTAGAAAATGGGATATATGTGGATGTAGAGAAGCTATGAGTGAATAGAACTTGCGTTCAAGGGATCGTCTCTGGCAAAAATACCCGCACTGATCATACCCCATACAGATCCTATCACATGTACTGGAATTACACCAACTGGATCGTCCACCTTAAGATTATACTATTCAGTTTTCGGTGAGCAACGCATGTGATTTTGTAGCTTAGGAAAATATCTGTAGAAGCATTTTGGCAGAGCATGAATCAACACGAAAAACGAGTTCTCCTCGACCTACTGTAGTTTCTTACCTCTGCCCACTCCAGTAGTGGATAAGAAAGTAAGGCAAAGCCAGCTCCGAATGATCCAACGATGTATGCTTGCCAAGGCGTAAAACAAGAACAGCAGGCTGGAAGAAACAAGATTTTCTTTATGCTTCGAAACACTTGCGTTTGGCTTCAACTTCAAATTATTCAATGAGAATTTTCAAAAAACTTGCTTAGTATATGCTTTTCGAATAAAGAAAGGGAAAACTGTTCTAAATGCTGCGAATTTTCAGTTATATGACGTTGATTTGTTCATGAATTACTTATGATATGTGAGTCTAAGACGAGGGGCATCTAGCTAACGACTTGTTCCAGCGCGCTTCCTCCTTACTACATTAGAAAAAAGTCCGACCTGAACTAGAGACTAGTGAGGCAAGCATGCCATCAATGAGCATATCGATTTCTATTCTCTTTGTAACAAATCTTGAAATTAACAATGATGTGACACCTCCGCCAGTTGATGCCATTATCGTACCAACAGCTGACCTAAAATCATACATGTAATTTTTGAGGCATTATCTTGAGGTGGCCTTTAATTACTTCGTTTACTCTTTGCTCAGAATAAATTTGTTTTGAAGAATCATGTAGACAAGTTACCTTGCAGCAAGATACCATTTCCCATGGCTAACACCATAGGTTGAGCCAGTGTTGAAGGCAAGCCAGCCCCACCACAACATGAACGTTCCTAAAAGCATTCTTTTGGAAGAATAGTCTGTGAATGATGTTCTCCAATAGGAGACTTATTTGAATGCATTCTTGTGGAAACCGTTATCATCGAATCTTACTGCACCGGTATCTGTATATGCTTATGACTAGATTAGATTTCAATCGACCCCTTCTTGGGTGGATTGGAACACTGCTTTTTAGGCTTGATTTGAAGCAATTCCCTTCTTTTCTCCAATCTTGGGTGTTAAGGAAAGAATTTTTTTAAAAATATCCCTGAAAACCTGTTCAATTTTTTCTGTAAAAACCGCATAGAAGCTTGATTCCCTTTTTGATCCTAATTTTGTACCACCTGAGAAAACCTTTCCTTGCATTCTCGCCATAAAGAGCCAATTCTCGATATGTTATGCACAACACGTAAAGAATTAACTATGCTGTCAGTACCTGACTGACAGAATCGGAAAAGGAAGGCGGAGCTGGTTGTGAACTTAGAAAAATACCTGAAGCAAGCACAAAACTTAGAGATAGAACTTAACTAAAATGGCATTGGTTGGATTGCTCATCCTCTTCTTTCCCATTTTTCCGAAACGTTTCTGCCTTGGCTTAAGGTAGATGGTGGCAATCATCCCAGAAATTCCTCCAACAAGGTGCACCTATTAAATCAATGATTGAATTGTCTACTCAAAATCGAGACCGAGCTTCAATCTTACTACGCTACATCCAGCCGAGTCGATGATGCCAATTTTGAAAAGAATCCCATTTTCGCTCCAAACCCAATGTGCAGGAATGGAGTGTATGAGCGTCATTACGAAAGAAATGATAATATACGCTTTCAAGCGTACTCGTTCTGCCATACCTGCTGAAAAAAGGTATTGAACATTTTATTGTAATCAACGTCAGTGGTTTTGGAAAAAGTGATGAATAACCTGAGACTATAGCCGAAGTTGTAGTGGCAAAACTCATTTGGTAAATAAATGACGCATACGTCCATCCTTCCTAATCAAACAAACCATTGTCTTGTAAAATCTTTCGTGAATCTTACCGTATTCTCATCGCTAGTCACTGGATCGAAAAAGAAATCCCCTGTTCCAATAAATGCATTTTCGAAGTTTGGATGTTGCCCAAATGTGAAACCGAAACCGAACATCCAATAAGACAACCCTTTAGTAATTGAGAGTATAAAGACATGCGGAGAGCTAATGATATGTTATACCTCCAAATATAACGTCTACCACATTTTTTACCATGATGTTGACTTCGTCCTTCGACGAGACCCGACCTGACTCTAGAAGTCCGAAACCTGTAAACTACTTGTTGGAACAAATTAAGTTATTTTCAGTCATTAAGAATTCTTTACAAGTTTTATGATTCTAGATCCAAAACTCTGTCAAACCTAGAAGTAATTCTTTTAATTTGATCTGATATTTTTTATATAAGCAGGAGGCAGTCGTAAAAATTATGATGAGGAGGACATTTCTAGGATTAATTTATACATTTATATCCATTTGATATAAAAGTCCTACCTGAAGTCATTGTGAAGATAGTGAAGCTGGCCGTTATGATCCAAACACTGTCATCCTGTAATAATGTATTTCTCAACTCCAGTGATGCTGAAGGGTTTTACAGCGTTGAAAATACAGTTTAGTATATTGTAGGTAAAAAGAATTGCGCCTTTATAGCGGTTTAGTGATTTCCACACACGCGACTTTTTGGTGTACCTGCAAGCGTGGAGTCTTTCTACCATGAGGAGTCTTTAATCAGGATTCTTGGTACTGCTAAATGGAACTTATGAGAGTTTCAATGTTTAGAAAAATAAGATCTCAAGACCCAGCAAAAAAAATTCGAGGCCTGAAGTCCTCAAGCAAAGTGGATTCTAAGCATTCCATCAGGTGTATAAGTGTATAGAACTTTCAATAGTCTATGTAGCACTGAAATGGCGATAGAACAGGATGTAAACGCAGTGTAATTGGCGCAGAGATCGTAATTGCAGCCTTTATGGCGATTATTCCTAGGTATCCACAACGAGTAGTTCCGGAAATTTGCTTACATTAAACAAGTAGCATGATGTTGTGCATTCTACTACTGGTGCTAATGTAAAGAATTATAAGGTTAT